GTTTCAGAAATATTATTTTATAATCAAAGTTAAGGATTGATTCTTACACCTGAAATTTTCATGATACCAACAGGAGAGCTTAAGTAATTCATTCTCGTTATCAACAAGGTGATGGCAGGTGAGGAAAGGACTTCTGGAGGCAGGAAAACTGGTATCAGTGCATCCAACCACGTGGTCTGAGCCCTTACTGTGACACAAGCTGATGTTTGTGACTCCTGAAAGGAGCCACTGCTAGCCCATTTGCTGGTTTGGTGACATTTATATGATTTCCCACCTTCTTTAGTGAAACATGTCAAGACATTTTTCTTGTCATTTTTTTCTTTTTCCTAGGATGACATCCGCAGTGGAAAAGAAGAAACTATTGGTCAGGGCTCAGTCAGGAAATCAGAGCCACTCCATGGTATAGGAATGAGGAAGGAGAGCTTTCACAAGTTCGGGACTTGCTGGGGATGTTCAGGGGAAAGCAGTGCCTAACCTTGTCCAGCTGAAGCCCTTGTGCAGGGTACCAGTGGGTAGGTGGAGAAAAACCAATGGTAAGTTATGCCGATGTGGCCGCTAGGGGGCTGTGGACGGGCAGCTTAAGGCAGGAGGTATAGGGACTGCAGCCTCTTTGGGGCCCAGGGGCAGGGTGAGGCTGCTCTGGGTTAGCAGAGCCAGCAGAGAGATGATGATGTTGCAAAGCTGGAGGCTAGTGAGGACACGCTGGGCCCCGCTGTGTCCATCCACTGATATGTTTGACCATGTGACCCTCCTCCATTTCCCTTCCGTCTTCCCAATTCTAAGAATCATGTCTGTGGACAACTTTAGCCCAGAGCCATAGAAAGAAGGGAATTCTGGGAGCAGACAGCAATGTTGGCAATATACTGCCCAGCTTTAGGGAAATATTTTTTCTGATGTCCTCTTATAGGGTATTAAAAATCTCGGGCACTGCTGAAGGAAAGAAATCAGATTAATGTGTCCAAGGCAAAGGGTTACGGTTTAAAGAGTGAATGAACACACAGAGTTATACGACCTGCTAAAATGAAAGATCCAAAAACTGTGCTGTTCTGATTTGGTATACAGTAAATGGTGAAATGTTATAAACAGCAAGAAAAGCAGCTTTACATTAATGTGATGATGGCAATGACACCTGACAAGGAATATGTTGAGCAGATAAAAATTTATTTCCTAACTATATCAAAATATACAAAAATCACAGGTACAGTGGAAAGTCTATTAGGACTTTTTTTTTTCTTACCATTTTAGTAAAAAACTACAAACTCACTATTAATTAATTATTTGCTAGCGGAACAGTTAAAATAACTTGATGGAAAAGATCCTAGAAAATGTATTAGTACTGTGTTGTGGGGAAGAGTTTTGTGAACTGAGGATCCTGTCTTTTAGGGGATTATGAGCAAGGGTAGGTGCTGTGTCACCAGCAGATGATTTCACTAGATAAGTTCTGTGATAGGGACAAGCACATGTACATCCATATAAGGGATCAGGGAACATTTCTGGACTTGAATGAAACACCAATCCGTTTGGCGTTGGGGTGTAGAAGATTCTTATGAATAGGGCAAGCATTAGTTCCGGACATTTAGATAAGGCTGTTAAGGGGCTGATTAAGTCAAGTCCAGAAAATGTGCCCAAATGAGTGGGTGTGGGGCAGTTCAACATAAAAAGGGGTAAAGCAAGAGAGGGAGACTGTGGAACACAAAAACTGACAGATGGCCAGATAGAGAAGCAAAGCCAAGTTTTGTAGGGCCTGAAGCTTATGGCATTTTGAGGACTTCATTCAGAAAGAGAATACAAAATTAAGCATAGAAAATTAGGCACAAAAATAAACATTCTTGGAGGAGGTGACACCTAAGCAGAGAAAGAGCAAGTTTGCAGAAGAAAGAGGATGGGGTTACAGACTTGTAGTTCAAGGGGAAGACAGCTTCTCTGACATGTTGTTGGGGGCCCAGGGGTAGGCTGCTGGAAGTCCTGGAGGGGGTGTAGTGGGTAGGTGGTGGTGGTGGGGAAACGAAAGCTCACAGCTGGGCTGGAGGACTTCACAGAGACCAAATCTTAAGTACGGAAATTGTGCACCCAGCCATGTGCCAGTATTTTCTGAATTTACTAAACCCACCGCACGATGAAGGCATTGCACTGTCTTGGTGAAAAACAAATGGGAATACATGAGGGATAACACAGTTTTTTGTCTTAAAACTGAGCAAAGACATGGCTTCATACTAATAGCTGCAAGAAGTGGTCAGATTCCCTTCATTCATTCTATTTTATAAAAGCGTAAAAATACAACTGTCTGTGATTTGAGAGCCCATGTTTTACATTCTTTTTCTTTTCAATTTTTTTTTTTTACAGAACTGTCAATTCAAAACATGTTTTACTTTCACTTATATATTTCCCACTGCTTAAGTATTTATTAAGCATCTACTGCTCACCTCACATGCTTCTAAGTGTGGGATACAGGAACGAGCAACATTAAGTTTCTGATTTCATGGACCTTGTAAGAGGAGACAGACAATAAGCACATAAACAAACAAATATATTATACAGTTTGAAGCCACACACCTTGAAGGGCTTCTTGTAGCCCCCAATGGTGGTAGCCATTCCATCATCTCTCTGCTTTTGGACTTAGATGAAATACTGAACTGTTTGGCGTGGGGTCTGCTTTCCCATGTCGCCTACAAAAGAGTCTTATGAGTAAGGCAAACATTAGTTCTGGGCATTTTAGATAACAATGCAGGGAGCTGATTAAGTTGAATCCAGACAAATGGGCCCAAATGAGTGGGCGTGGGATGATATTCAGCATGAGAGCAGGTAAAGCAAGAGAGGGAGGCACAGGACCCAAAAGCTGACAGCTGGCCAGATGGAGGGGCAAAGACAAGTTTTGTAGGGCCTGAGGCTTATCACATTTGTGAGACTTAAGAAAAAAATATATAAAAAGAATAGAAAGTTAGATACAAAAATACATGTTTAAAGGGAGAAATGCATCACAATAAGTTACAAATTAAAAAAAAACTAATGAATCCCATAAACTTCAGAAATACATGACATAATATTTTAATAAGCTGCTTGACACACTTCTATTACACTGTTTACATTTTTCAGTAGCATACCCTCTCATCACTGCTTCGGTTTTGGAAGACATTTTCTATAGGAACAACAGGAAGCTACTTCACACACAGGCGAACTTGCTTTTTGTTGTTCTACTATAGCCTCGTGTCTTCATAAACACGGGAATTCAGATCATTTACTTCATGTGATTTTTCTCCAAAAATATATGGTCCATTTATAACTGTATCTGCTGCATTTCAGTACAGGTACGTTTCCGACAAGAGAGAACTTCTGTCTTGATCAGGTATAGTTGAGAGAGTCAAACCTTCTCTAACAATGCTGTGTTTTTTTGTGTTTGTTTGTTTATTCTTGAGACAGTCTCTCACTCTCACCCAGGCTAGAGTGCACTGGCCGATCGAGGACTCACTGGAGCCTACACTTCCCAGGCTCAAGTGATCCTCCCATCTCAGCCTCTGAGTATCTGGGATTACAGGAGTGAGCCACCATACCTGGCTAATTTTTAAATTTTTGGTAAAGACAGGATTTTGCCATGTTGGCTAGGCTGTTCTCAAACTCATGGCCTCTACCAATCTGGTTGCTTCAGCCTCGAAAAGTGCTGGGCTTACAAGTGTGAGCCACTGAACCAGCAGATGCTAGGAGTTTTATGATGGAGAGAATTGCCAGACTAGCTTCCAGCTCTGCCCATCTCAAACTCTGCTACTCTTTTGCTACTGGAACCCTTCTAGTGTTGGGGAAATAAGACCGTTCAGGACACCAGTGTGACTCTCATAGAGGGTAGTAGGTATGTCAGTGGTAGCTGTTCCTGCACCTAGGTGGCCAGCACCAGCACAACTCCAGGGGAGAACTGTAAACCACATAAAATAGCCCGTCGAGGCCAGGGCTGGGGAGAGGCAAACCAGGCACCTGAGGCTCAAAACTTAACACCGGCCCTGGTCTGTTCATGGCCTCTTCAAAGTCACTCAATATGAGGATAAGTTAGAGTTAAAAAAGACGGTGAATTTAACTGGTGGTGATTAAAATTTTTTTTTTTTTTTTTTTTCAAAATTTACAGTAACATTACCATGGGTGCACATTGCTAGGGTTCCCAGCAATGCGAACGTGTCCTTTGCAAGTCAGGGGTCCTGGATTCAAGCTTCTAACTTCCTGATTAATCCATCTCTGCATTCTGACCATGGCCCAACGTTCAAGCCTAGTTTTTCAGACTGGCTTACTTTTGCCTCCAGGACTTTGGTTAGAAGCTCAGGCTCTGGGGCTGGACTATTTGGGTTTGGATTCTGGCACTGCCACTTACTAGCTTGTGGAATCCAAAAATGTTATGCAATATCTTTGTGTCTCAGGTGTTCTCATCTGTAAAATGGCCATAAGTAATGTTAAGATTAAAAGAATTAGTTCACTAAGAGTGCTTACAACAGTATCTGACACATTATGAAAGCTCAATATTTATTATTATTTTTACTACCACTAGTAATAGTAATAGTATCAATATGTATATTAATAATACGTGGCTCTTCTCACACCACACCGTACACCCCCAGGACTGTCCGTGTTCTGACTTGGCCCAGAAGAGGCGTCCTTTTTCTGAATGGACTGTCGACCACATGTAGAAGGAAGGCAGAGAGAGAAAGGAATCAAAGAGGAACGGAATACTTGTTTTCAGATGTATTAATGTCTCCGAATTACATTTAAGTAGGTGAAAGATGTGGGGCTATAGAACATTTGCTGGAGCATAGATGTATAAATGTGCACGGCATGCCGAAAGAGAGTCAAAGGAGCACTCACAACGGAGCTGGCACCCTGTTGCTTCAAAACGAGAAAAATCACACGATCAGCTGCAGTTAGACTTAAACAAGGAAAAAGGCTGCACGTTAATTCAAGCTTATTCGCAGGACAAGCCTCCAAGACACTTGGTTTTCTCCCCTGGGTGGAGCGGTGGCCAGCAGGGAAAAGGAGGCGGCTCGGGCTTGCTGGCTGGCGTGGGCGCCAGAAAGCGGAACGGCCTGGGCCAGTCGCGCGGTGGTCACTGTCTCGGGAGCTGGGGAGGAGGCTGCCGAGGCCAGCCTAGCTCCTTCCAGCGCCGCTTCCCGGAGCGGGTGCGGGGGGTCCTCCGGAACGTGTGCTCTAGGTTCTCCCAGGCCAGCGTTCGCATCCCCGCCTGCCGGGTAGCGGCGCCGCCTCGGGCACCGGTGCAAGCGCGCGGCGCGCAGGCGGGGGGCGCTGTGGCCTCGGCGCCGGGACTGAGCTGCCCAGCCGGACCCGCCTCTTTCCCTTCTCCGCCCGCCTGCCCGCCCCCCACGCGTCGTGTCGCCGGGAAGCCGGGCGGAGACAGAGCGCTCCGCTCGGGATCCACGGCGCTCGGACCACTGTCCTCCAATCGCGCGGGGCAGAGCGGCTGGCGCCGCCGGAGCGAGGAGCCACGACCCTCCCCGGCCGCCTTTGTCTACGAGCCGTGCGGCCTGGAACCACCACTCTCAGGGGCCGGGGACGCGCCCGCAGCTGTCGGTGACAGCTCCTCCCTCCCGCAACCCTCCGGGGCGGAGGGGCGGTCGGGCCGGGCCCTGCTCTCCCGCGCCCGCAAGCCCGCTCTCGCGGATCGATGCCCCCGCAGCAGGGGGACCCCGCGTTTCCCGACCGCTGCGAGGCCCCTCCAGTGCCGCCGCGTCGGGAGCGCGGGGGACGCGGGGCACGCGGGCCTGGGGAGCCGGGGGGCCGGGGGCGCGCGGGCGGTGCCGAGGGGCGCGGCGTCAAGTGCGTGCTGGTCGGCGACGGCGCGGTGGGCAAGACGAGCCTGGTGGTAAGCTACACCACCAATGGCTACCCCACCGAGTACATCCCCACCGCCTTCGACAACTTCTCGGGTGAGCTGGCCTGGGGGCCGGGGCCGGGGGCGCGTGGCCGCGGTCCGCCTAGGGGAGGGAGGATGGCACGAGGGTCGCTGGGCTCCCCAGGGGGCTGCGGGGCCCCCGCGCCGCTCCGGCGGGGAAGCCGGGCGAATGAGGAGTGCAGGACGTTTCCTGAGTTTTCAGGAACCAGGCAAGCAGGGAGCAAACACGAAAGGGCCACGGGGGAATGGGGAGCCACCAGAGCTTGGTGAGGGGAGGGCGGAGAGGCAGTCAGAGCCAAAAAAAAAAAAAAAAGCAACAGATAAGCAGGAGTGAAAGAGGTTGAGTTCAGCCTGCCCGGCCAGTTTGCTGCGTTAGAACAAAGTTTCCTGAGGGCGACGTCACTGGCGCCGCTGCGGAGTTTCAATCAGAAGGTGACGCGCAGGTGCCTTACCTGTGGCCCTGAGCGTAGCCCCTTTCCTTTCTGGCGGCTCAGCTCACGAGGGGCATCTCCACTTTAAAGAGCGGCGGAGACGCCGGGAAAACATTTGATTTCGTGAAAATAGCCCGAGCAGCCCTCTTGAAGGCTTAGGTTTGGATGAAACCTGAAGAGTAAACACCGTTTCTTTCTTCTGAGCCCCACCACCTTCCCCACCCGCATGGGCTCGGATTCTGGTTGTTGGTGTCTTTTCAGGATCCCTTTAAGCTGCTTAAAGCCCTTATGTACCGAAGCGAGGTCATTTCCCTTGGTAGGTAAAATGATAAAGGAATACTTTGTCTTGATTTTCAGGTCTTTTAGAAATTTAAGAAAAAGTTAAAATTCACAGAAGCTAGTATGAAACACTTAACTGTCTTGCTTCTTCTTTTTTTTTTTCTTTTTTTAAAGTTGCTTCTCTGACCTTCCTTTCATCCCAAAGGTACCCTAGAAAAATGGGTGCTATACTGGTGGGTTCTCCTCCCACCCTGCTGACTAGTATAAACATTTAGAAACAATTAGAAAGTTGTGTAGAAAGAGAGAAAAGTGAGTGCTTAATTAAAATAGAAACCTCCACAACATGTCTGCTGCAGGCCTTGCCACACTCCTCGAGTCCCGGAGCCCACTGGAAAGGTGGGCATGGCTTTCTTTTCTTCTTTTTTAATCTCCTTTTGACCTGCCATAGAGATAAGGAGTGCCCTCATTTTTAAACGGGACAATGCGGGCAGTCCGTGTTTGCACATGTTCTCAAAACAAACTAGAATTTTATGATAAACTCTGAAGTTGGGAAACTTTCCCAAGGGAAAACAGAATTATTTGTGAGGTTTTCCACTGATTTAAAACTGCAGCGTTGCTTCCCATTTACCTCCAGTGTTGTTTTTAGGGCCTTTGAAACAAGTGTGACAGGAAAATAAATCTTCCAGGACTGGGAGAAAAGCATAGGCCTTTCTGGGGGCACCATCAAAGGGCTCGGGAATTTGCTGCCTGGTCCATGGCAATGGAGTGACTTGCCAGCCCCCGGTTTGTATACAAAAACGCCTCCACAGGGCCTCCTTGTTTTAGGTGAGTCTTTAATTCATTAGAGGACCTAGAATAGGAGCAGAGGAGTTTGGAGTGAGAATGATAGTGCAAGCTAAAACTATTAGTATTCTGGAAGTGGTTAAAAGACACCTCCTGATTGTCATTTTGGTTTTGTTTTTAAGCTGTGGTGTCTGTGGATGGGCGGCCTGTGAGACTCCAGCTCTGTGACACTGCCGGACAGGTCAGTATCATGTTACAGCTCAGTGCTGGGAAAGGAAACAGCCTTTTAAAGATTTCCAAATAACCTTTGATTCCCTCAGTCAGTAACTAGGTCATTCTAAAGCCTCGTGAAGTGGACCCACCCCTGCTGTTGGCCTCTCTCTGAGGGTGGGCAGGGACTAGGGGTTGGGGGACAGGAAGCAGAGGAAGATACCTCCAAACTAATAAAACAGGGTTTGGCTCAGCTCTACGTAGCCAAGCAAGGGAGGGAGCAGGGTCAAGAACAGCTCTTATCTTAAAAGATTTCTGTTATTTACTCCCCTGGTTTTTATGAAAAAAATTTCAGTGATGTTTTGTCGTCATTTCCCAAAGTAAGTTAGTAATAAAAATCATTTTATTAAAGGCCAGTGAGTCAGATATTTAAGAAATTTGCTCAAGAAAAAGATGGAATTTATATCAGTAAGGGTTAATATTTCCCTTCCTGAGCTGTGGTTTGACTCCTTTGGACCAGCCCCATTCCCTGAAGCACAGACACATTTGTCAGAGCCGTCCTAAGCTGGAGGGATGAACTAACTGGGCTTGTTCTATCCAAATTGTGAATGCTGGTTCTTGTCTCGAGGGCTGGGTACTTGGAGGAAACAGCTAGGGAGTGTGGGATTCCCTCTTCGTGATCCCCAGAAGAACCCCCTGCTTGCTGGGTCCTTGAGTCCCTGAAGTCAGGCTGTGCCTTGTGAACTCCCAGGGGTACTTGATTTTGGCAAAGTGATGGTTAATGAACTTGTCTCTATAGTATGTTCTAGGGTTCAGCAAATCCCGGGTATACTTTGTAGGCAGATGAAAGTGCCCCCTTCACTTTCTGAGGTGCCATTGCAAGACCATGTATGTTTAGGAAGGCATTGGTTTTCCACTGGCCTCCAGAGCCTCATCTAAGCCAGAGCTTCCAAGTTGCTCGCCTACTCTGGGACAGCAGATTCAGAACTGAGGATAGGTATTCTGTTTTAAACCTCAAGATGATACAAGACTGGGTAGCCTTGAGTTCCAAGGAACACTGGGCTGGTGGAGACCATAGCATGAGAGCACCTCAGCTTGGAAAAACCAAGCACTATCGGTATTGTATTGCCTGTAGAAAACAAAAATCAGGCTGGGTGTGGTGGTTTATACTCTTTGGGAGGCTGAGGTGGGAGGATTGCATGAAGCCAGGAGTTTGAGACCAGCCTGGGCAGCATAGCAAGACATCATCTCTACAAAATAAAAAAATTAGCCTGGTGTGGTGGCAATGCTCATAGTCCCAGCCAGTAGCCACTTGGGAGGCTGAAGCAGGAGGTTGGCTTGAACCCAGGAGTTTGAGGCTATAGTGAGCTATGATGGTGCCACTGCACCCCAGCCTGAGCAACAGAGCAAGATGGTCTCTTGGAAAAAGAGATAAAAAAGATCATCTCTTGGAAAAAAAGATAAAAAAGAAAAATCAAAGAATACAGTCACTTCTAGTACTGAATCTTCCTGAAGGCCATGGTGGTATTTATAATTCAAGCTTCATTTCCTTGTATGAAGTGAGAATGCTTTGCCTATTGGGGGTCCGGTTTCCTGATCTTTAAAACACGAGCAGAGGAACATCTCATTAAGCACAGTCATCCTTGCTGAAGTCAGAGCCTGAGGATAAGATGGAAGTCAGGAAAACACAGGAGGTCCAAAGGCACAGTTACCAGGGAGCTTTATGGGGAGGAGCAGAGTCTCAGTGCACCTACCTGCTTCAGGATGTCACTCAAATATCTCTGTCCACCACTGGGCTCCTCCTAAGTGTTGGCTCTTAAGCAGGATGCAGCTTCTTGAGCTGGGGTTTCATGCCCAGTGCCCAGTGTAGTGCCTGGCACAGAGCAGGGCTTAATTTTGTGATTTTATAGAATGGATGAACCAGAGGAGGACCAGTGGTAAGGCTGCAACCATAAGTCGTGGGCCTGCCCCTTAATAGACTTACAGTGTGGAGGGAAGACCAACCAGTTTATGGAAGTTTGTGAAGGAGCAAGCTAAGGGAAGGAAAGAGGCTCCGGGTCAGAGGTGCAGGCTAGCTGGGCCTGGCAGGAAACCCTCTCAGCAGAGTTTTGAAAGACAAATAGGAATTTTACTAGAAAAACTTTGTAAAAATGACTCTGAATTCTCAAGGAAGAGTTAAATCGTTCCTTAGAATAATCTGTTTAAAAATCACGGAAGCACATACATCACTTTAGAAGTATTTTTATCCAAAAAAGTTTATAATTAGGGAAAAATGAAGGTTTTGGTGCTACATTTATAAGCTTCAGTTTGTTTGGAAATTATTATTCTGGCCTCCCAGCAATATTTTCAATGAGATTTACTGTATTTATTAACTTTTGTGTTAGACGAAAATACCCAATTAATTAATGAATAAGACCACGATCTAAAAATTTGTAGAAAACCAACTTTAAAAACTATGAAAAATATGCTGCTGGTAAGGTAAGTCAGGTATTTGTGTTTTTGTTTTCCTGTTTCCCCATTTATAAGTTAGTCTTTGTTCAGACTACTAGCCAAGCTGGTCAAAGTGGTAGTTCTTTTTTACTCTCCCTCATCCTGGTATGATAAAATACATTTTAGGGGACTTGCTGTGATACCTGCCATGTTTCCTTATGGAGTAAGGAACACATACCTCTTCTAGGCAGCTGACATAAGAACCTTGAGGGTCAAGTGACTCCACTGACCTCCACTTCAGATGCCCGGAGAATCGGTATGAACACAGATAGGCTGGAACTTGGGGATGTGGAGCTGGAGTGTGGGTTTCCCATGGAAATTGATGGAAGGAGAGTATAGCTCTAGAGGCTGAAGAAATCACTTCTTGTACCTTTAGCTTTTCTGGTTAGGGAGGGTAGGTGAGTCTATAAGATGTCAAAAGGAGTTTTTAACACTGGGCTTACAGTCTCAAGGGAAGATTGATCAGAGACAGATTGAAGACTTGAAAAAACATACCTTTGGCATAAGAGAAAAAGTATTGCTGAAATAGGAGTAGTTCACTGGAGAATTGCCAATAGAAGCTGAAAATTTTTTGGCCTTTTGACCCATAGGTACTAAAAAAAAAAATTCAAGTTGCAGCCAAACCAGAGGGATGTAGAATCCAGTCTTCTCTCTCTGCCCCGCCCACCCTGATCAGAATCCTGTGCAGCGTCTGTACCACAGATCTGGCAAGCACATGCAAATTGCTTGGCCTCAGAATGCCTTTTTTTTTTTAAAGGGTGCATTCCAGTTGTCCTCATTACACGTGTGTATTGCATTCATCAAATATCTAAGGTTTCTGGTTAGGCACTGAGCAAGAGGGTCTAATTTCTGTTTTACTTCTCAAGTTCCTTAGCCAGAATCTCAAGAGATCTGGGGAGATACCTTTCCAAAGCCCGCTCAGAAGGCTCAGCCCTTGTACTTGCCTTCCTTTTTCTCAGTATTGCAACCCCAGATGCCAGGGCACGGCCAAGGTGCAGCTACCTGAGGGGACAGCTACCTGAGGGGGGAGCTACCTGGGGGGGGGCAGCTACCTGAGGGTGTAGCTACCTGGGGGGGTAGCTACCTGAGGGGACAGCTACCTGAGGGGGGAGCTACCTGGGGGGGGCAGCTACCTGAGGGTGTAGCTACCTGGGGGGGGTAGCTACCTGAGGGGCAGCTACCTGAGGGGGCAGCTACCTAAAGGGGCAGCTACCTAAAGGGGCAGGTACCTGAGGGGCAGCTACCTGAGGGGGCAGCTACCTAAAGGGGCAGGTATCTGAGGGGCTGCCTTAATGCTGGTCTCAGTTTTATACTTTTTTCTTTAAGGCCCTCTAAGAACAGAGGGAGCATTCCATTAAAACATCTTCAGAGCTGAGCTGTAGTCTACCTGACTGCGTTTCTGTGTTTATTTAATCAGCACAAAGTTGGCATGAAGAAACTTAAGTCGTTCTTTTTCTTTTTAAAACTGTTTTTAGAGACAGGGGTCTTTCTAAGCCACCCAGGCTGGTCTTGAACTCCTGGGCTCAAGTGATCCCCCTGCCTCAGCTTCCCAAGTAACTGTGACCATAGGCACGTGCTGCCACACTTGGGTAAGTCATTCTTTTTCAACTTGCACTTGCAGAAGCCTCACAAATATCAGTGACATTCTGAAATACCATGTTGTTTCCTGAGCATTTTAGCTGGTTGACTTTAATGTGATTAGTTGGTTGGTTGGTGTCCCGTAATTGAAACAATGAAGAAAGTCTATTCAAATAAGTTACAGGTTTCTTTTGTACCGAGAGAAAAAAGCCACAGATGGAGAATAATATCGATATAAATAGTACTTAGTAAAAAATCAGATTGTGTCAATTGAGTAATGAAAAACATGAATGGCATTGAGCTTTGTCTTGTTCTTGAGAAATTATTTATACCTGAGGATGGTTGGCACCAACAGATACACATTTTAAATAGGAAAGAGTAAATATTTTTCTACAAAAGATTTGAGTGAAAGTTTTCAGTTAGCTGAATGTGGTACTACAGGGAACTATAGGATGTTTGCTATAAAGAAATGCTCATTTGGAGACCAGCATCTGTCTGTTCACACCCAAATCCCCTCGCCTGCCACTGTGTCTTGAGTGCAGGTGATGTTCAGTGTTGTCTGTTGACTGGCTGACCGTGGGAGAGCAGTGGCAGCACAACCATTGGTTTATTTATAATCAACTCTGATTTATTCCATCCACTTCTCTATACCTGAAGGGTAGGGTGTTCGTGCCTATTCTCCAGTTCTTGTCTGTCCAACACTGTACATGGAGGCCATGGGTATTGGCAAGGAGAAAGGAAGTAGGAGAAAATGAAGGAAGGACGGAGGCAGAGAAGATAAAGCTAGAATAAGGATGTATTAACTAGTGTCTGTAAGTGACATTGAGAAGCACAAGTTTTCCGAGTCGCTGATTTCTGGTCTGGCCTGGAGTCTGATTAGCATTACTCTACACTGCTGTGCATGGTGTGGGCAGAGTGTGTGTACAGTGCAGATGGGATGAAATCGGCATCACTCAGAGCTGCTGTGGGGAAAGACAGGGCTGGATTCATAAAGAGAGGAGCTGTGTTCATAGACTGGGCTCTTGAGGTTCATAGTCCGGGTCTTGAGGATCAGTGTGGGTATGGTCTGAATTTTATAAGAGTAGCTAAGTACCAAGAGTTGAGAGTAAGTTTGGGTTACACTCAGCTGCAGGCTAAACTTTATTTTATTTCTAGAACCCACCTGCTTTGAGCATTTTTTCTATGTTAAGCTGCAAGTAGTCTTGAGTGTCGATGAACATTTTGAACATGCTTGTCAGTGTTCAGGCCGTCGCTGGCCCTGACAGCAGGCGGCTGCCACACCTTTGCTGTGCACTGGCTCCGCCTGGTAAACAGCAGGATGGTTTCAAGGCTGCTGGCTCTTCCTCCTAGGACCAGTGAGTCTTCTATCACCTGCCAGACCCTTTCAGGAAAAATGTGAAGATGATCTTTTTACTGATGAGAACTGATTAAAAAATAACTTTTGGGGACTTTGCTTGGTTGCAGGATGAGTTTGACAAGCTGAGGCCTCTCTGCTACACCAACACAGACATCTTCCTGCTCTGCTTTAGTGTCGTGAGCCCCTCATCTTTCCAGAATGTCAGTGAGAAATGGGTGCCAGAGATTCGGTGCCACTGTCCCAAAGCCCCCATCATCCTAGTTGGAACGCAGTCAGATCTCAGAGAAGACGTCAAAGTCCTCATTGAGTTGGACAAATGCAAAGAAAAGCCAGTGCCTGAAGAGGCAGCTAAGCTGTGCGCCGAGGAAATCAAAGCCGCCTCCTACATCGAGTGTTCAGCCTTGACTCAAAAAAACCTCAAAGAGGTCTTTGATGCAGCCATCGTCGCTGGCATTCAATACTCGGACACTCAGCAACAGCCAAAGAAGTCTAAAAGCAGGACTCCAGATAAAATGAAAAACCTCTCCAAGTCCTGGTGGAAGAAGTACTGCTGTTTCGTATGATGCTGGCAAGACACCCAGAAAGGCTATTTTCAGATGAAATTGATATTAGAAGCTATATTAGCTGAAACAACTCCTTTTACTGTGTAGAACCTGTATAGAGAGTGTGTGTATATGTATTATAGGAGGAGCTCTCAACTTATGCATTCTTTCTTGCCTTTAATTTTCCTGTTGTTTGAGCTTAGGGATGAGATACTTATGCAAGATATTTTTGAAGTAAATTAAACATTTTTCACCTCTCTGGAAATTTAGAGTTCTAGACCTCTGGGTTAATTGATATCTAATATGAAGAAGACACCTCAGATCTGGATGTCAAGAATGCAATTCTGCTACATTATAATGTACAGCAGAACAAAAGGGAGGGCGCTATGGCTAACCCTCTCTTGATTAAGGGCTACTTAATGCAAAGTGCATTACGTACACGGGTCAACCATGGTTGGAACAATTCTTAGCTTTGAAACTCCATGCAAACCATACCTTTTTTTTTTTTTAAAGGAGCAAAACTCTGAGAAAAAATGCAAGACCTCTGCCTACAAAACCTCAAAACAGTCACTTTTGTCGTTTGCTAATACCCAGTTTCTTATGATTTAAAACAACCAACAGGCCGGGCGCAGTGGCTCACGCCTGTAATCCCAGCAGTTTGGGAGGCCGAGGCGGGTGGATCACGAGGTCAACAGATCAAGACCATCCTGGTCAACATGGTGAAACCCGGTCTCTACTAAAAATACAAAAAATTAGCTGGGCATGGTGGCTCATGCCTGTAATCCCAGCTACTCAGGAGGCTGAGGCAGGAGAACTGCCTGAACCCAGGAGGCGGAGGTTGCGGTGAGCCGAGATCGCGCCATTGCACTCCAGCCTGGGTAACAAGAGTGAAATTCTGTCTCAAAAAAAAAAAAAAAAAAAAAAAAAACCACCTTCAAAAAACATCCCACGACTATATTGCACTGTGTTGACAAAAAAGGAAACTTGCTTATGGGGAGTTTTCTTTCTTAGACCAGTTGTGTTGACAGTGTGTTAACACAGAGTGCCGTGCAGAGGAAAGGAAGCGTTAGTCAGTATTTTTCATGTTTTAGGGAGTGATTCCTGTGGAGACGAGAATGTGACATTTGCTTTTGGTACTGTAACACAGGCACCAAGCTGCCTCAATCCTACGTAGCGAGGGCACCGGGGAGCACCCATCTGGATTGTTTTAAAACTTCCCTATTCAAGCTGTTGCTTCGGCAGGGAGGTGAATACTTTTGAAAGGCCAACAGCAAATGTTTGTGGGACAGGAAACAGATCATTTTTTCTTAAGTCAGCCAAGATGTACTTCTCTGTGTACACAGCCACGCGCACACATGCACAGACACATAGGTCTGTGTGGCTGTATTTGTTGTTGATAACAGTAGCCTGATGGAGGTCAGACTCTTACGCAGTTAATGGGGAAAAGCATGGCCACAAAAACACATGCGAGGGAAGCTTGGCTTCCTCTTGTTGTTGACACTTTTGTGAACCAGCATCTTTTTTATTCAGAGTATGCTTTTAGGTCTATCTTAAAATATATATTTTTGAGGACATCTTAAAACTAAACAAAAAATGAAATGAACATATCTTGAAACCTGTTAAAACAACCAGTGAAAGCCACAGATGGCTTTGGGGCAGTACTAGCAGATGCCCGTGGACTCTGAGGACTCCAGAGGGGCGGTGCGTGTGGTCAGCCAGGTGCATGCCGGGACCATGGCCCCCATGCTTGGCCGATTCCTGTGACGGTGAAATACATCCTTCAAGGTGGCAGCTTTTACAGCTGAATCTTCTGGAGAAAGAAGTGCCACCTCAGGAGAGTAGCTTTTACTCTGGTAAGAATGCCTCTGACATGCCACAGGGCAGCCTGAACACACTGAGTTGCGGTGGGTGAGACAGAGCCACTGAAGTCACTTCCACAACTAATGAGGGAAATCTCTATAAAGCCAGTTAGGTAGAAGAGTTTTATTTTTCTGTGGGTTTTGTGTTGTCTTTTTGATATAAAAAGAGATCCAGTTTGTGTTTTTCAATAGAAAAAAAGATCAGGTTATACTGTAGGTTAGGGTTCCATGTATTCCTCTTAGTAAATAAAATTAACAAATTTCTTTAATAAAAGATTAATCTTTAAACAACTAAAATACATAGACTGTCACCTTTTGATTATTCAACACATTGGAATTGATGTCAGTTGTAGTTTCCTGAAGCATTTAGTTACAACCTGAAGGAGGAAAATTATTTGTGGAAATGTTTAAAATGGACCTAATTGACTATAGTCTCATCTTGCCCTGCCTGGCCTCGGCTGGGCTCTGCCTGTCTGCTTGGTGTCCAGTGTGGGAGGGAAGATGAGTTATTTAATGGTAAGTGATTTGAAACATTATTTTTATATTAAAGTAAATGGCATGGAGTACAATGCAAATTCAGTTTTAAGATAGAACACAAAACTTGAAAGAAGTTTTATGCATGCAACAGTGTATGGGGCTGCAGCTGGTCACCCTGAAGGGGCCTTCCACACCTCCTGTCTATAGGCCTCAGGTGGAAGGTGCTTAGTGAAGAATACCTGTGTGGCCCAGTTCTGAAAGCTTTATGCAAACAGTTGAATTTTAGCTGGCATTGATAACAGCTTGGACTATTACTGTTAAAAATCTAGTGGGTTGACCTTTAAGTTTTTAATATATGTTGCTACATTTTATAGAATAGTAAAGGTACGATTGTACTTGAGATTTTCCTCCATTTTTATTTCTTTTGTGAGCCTAGGGTTTGGGGCCGAAAATGTTTTCAAAGTATGTGTTTGAGTTAAATATAAAATTTGTTCACGTCAAAGCTCAAAAATTGTTAAACTTGCAGCTTGGTATTGCAGAGAAGAGTTTCTAAGAATTTTGCTTTAGAGAATGCCACCTTGGCTGAACTACAAGTGTAGGCCACCATTATCATTTCAACACACAGCACACTTCAGAACTGTTTGCTATCTCTTGTTACCACATATGTATAAATGGACCTCTTATAACCTTGTTCTCTGCTTGGCAAACTCTAGAGAAACTACCCAGGTGTGACAAGCCAAAGCGGGAGCAAGGCCTCCTCTCCTGACTATCGTAACCTGGTGCCTTACCAAGTTGTGCTTTTCTGTTTTCAAGTGTAAATGATGTTGGGCAGAATGTTGTACTTGAAAATGCTATAAATGAGATGGTATGAAATAAATTCTGACCTATGGATCTAATGGCTCTTGCCTCTTCTATCGAAGGATTTTGTTGGAGGTGTTTAGCCACATCTTGAAGCAGCACTCGTTGGGAAGCATCATGGCATACACTGAGAGGCGTTTTGGGAATGCATCTCCAACTGATTTGAAGTGCTTCTGCAGCATGGGGTTTTCTGGATTCTGGAGCCATAGTCTGACAGTAAGCACCTGCTGATTACGTGTTCCTCACAGATTGTGTGCTGATGTCCCAGTGAGTTGGAGGGAGCACTATTCTTGGAACTGAAAGTCTGGACTCAGAGAAGTACTAGTGTGGGATGAAGCTGAGATAGCCAGCGATCTGAACCTCAGTTTCTTCTTCTGGAAACAGTACTGCCTTTCTCACCTGGCTGTCTGGATCCTGAACAATGCAGAGCAGACATCCAAGATCTGTAAATCACCGGGAAAGAGGCTAGAAGTCAAGGGCATCATGATCCCTTACCAGCCGTAGAGCTGAGACCAGGGTTCTCAGGTCCTGAGGGTCCCAAGAGGTGCTGTTGTGTTCTGTGTGGTTTCTTCAGGTTCTTGAAGTCAGTCTTCTCATCATGTCATGAGGATGCAGTCGTTGTACCGAGGGCTCTAGGGAATGCTGCCCTGGGGAGGCAACTATTCTGAGGGGCTCGAAGTCTTCTTGCTCTCACCCTCTAGCCTCAAGGTCATCCCATGAAGGATGGAGCCATCCACTCTGCTCCCCATGGTGCTGCATAGGCCACGATACAACTTTTGTGCGTACCCACCGGATGTTCAGCCACAATGAGTGGGAAGACTGCATGGAATGCAACTAAAACAACTATATCCCCCAATTCCACACATGGCCGGGGTGCCAAAAGCCTGCTGGCTTCCCGGCCTCCACAGGGCGGCTGACCCCAGCCCAGAGGGACTCAGAGGTTTCTCCACACCCAGTCCCAGTCTGTCTCTCATGTCCTGGCTGGGCCTTCCCAGGACACACGGACAGCACATCCAGCCACTGTAGAGGAGGTGAGCATGTGCTTCATTGAGGCATTTATGGATTCAAAGAGAGTGAAGGAATGAGAAGCATCCAGGAGAAAAGTGTTCAAAAAGGAAAGAAGGTTCGAAAGCCCCAAGGCAGACGAGCATCTGCTATGTCCCGGAGGCCAGTCTGAACAAGATAAAAGGCAGGAGAGGCAGGGAGATGATGTCAGGATGGTGACAATGGGTGGTGATGGTGGCAACCAGGGACATGGGGACGAGTCCGGCTGCTTGGGCTTACATTCTGGCACTGCCACTTGCTGGTTCTGATTACTTAAGCTACTTAATCTTTTAACCCCTCTGAGTCTAAACAGCTTTCTAACCTTTCAAGTGGATAAGCATGGCCAATGGACCAATGCTTTCATCCTCTGATCAAATGAGGTTATGGATGGAAAGTGCTGGTACACAGTAAGCACTCAGTAAATGCTCACTCTGCATGGTCTTCGTAGTAGACTCCTTTCAATGATTCTTTTAATTTCCTTCACAGCAGGACACGCCTGTAAATCAGCTCAGTTCTTGTGGGCATCCCACTGAGGTGACAATTGGCTCCTAAGGGTTTCCATCTTCATCTCTATTAAATTTTATGAGGCTTACACTTTTAATGGATAACAGCACATTCATTTTTTCATTTCCACTCATTTTTATAAAATCGGAGCAACATTATATAGATCATGTTCATTGTTGCACAGGCTGGCTCTGTGGAGCAAAGCTGCTGCGGCTGCTGCTGCTGACCTGCTGGAACTGTGTGGGGTGGGCCACCTCTCTGAAAACTGACAAGTGAATCTGCAGATGGTGAAGCAGGAAAATCTGAATTCAGGGTACAAAGGTAATTTAGGGAGTCAGCAGACAAGGTTGCGATACAGGCATTGTGTGGAAGTCATGATCTGCTGCGTTCCCCAGCATTGTGCTGGGCTGTCCCTTTACTCTTGTCATGCAAGAAGTTCTTGCTGCAGACTGGCACATTCTTACTTTTTTTTTTTTTTTTTTTTTTTTTAGAGACAGGGTTTCTCCATGTTGGTCAGGCTGGTCTTGAACTCCTGACTTCAGGAGATCCCCTGGCCTCGGCCTCCCAAAGTGCTGGGATTACAGGTGTGAGCCACTGCTCCCGGCCATTCTTACATTTTTAGTCTTCATTTAACAGCCCGAGTCATCCAACCACAGTTATCTGGTACAATGTGCAATACGAACAATAAATCTGAGTCTTGAAGAGGCGCAGCTTGCACATGAAAGATGCATGTGGTTGGGAACCCAATATTTATCCCTAGAAAGAGAACGTATTCTGGAGCAGAATATCCCATTGCCCTTTGCTGCTTTCCTCCTGAATGTCCCACAGGTACTTCAAACTTAATTTATTCTATGAGTTTCCTTTGGCTGCTTTAAGTGGCTTAAAGCAACACCGATTTATTACATTATGGTCTGGAGGTGAGAAATCTGACTTGGGTCTCATTGGGCTAAAACCAAGGGATTGGCCAGGCTGTGTTGTTTTCTGGAAGCTCTAGAGGGAAATTTGTTTTCTTCCCTTGAATGTGGGTACCAAAATGTTGATGTGAATATTTACCTTTTTACCTGGCTTTGCCCAGGGAGGAGAAACATTCTCCATATAGCTGTTTCCAGCACTTCCTCTTAATCCAACAGCTGGAGGTGCAACATCAACTTGGCATATGCTGATTGTCACTTTGGAAAACATTCCCAGGAGGGCATTTCTTCTTATAGTCCAAGCATGCTGTTTTGGGTGCATTCTTATAGTCCAAACTTAAAGCACAAACAGAACTTAGACTTTCTAGTATAGCCCTTAGTACACAAGCTTTTGGAAATATCACTTGCATCAATCACTCTTTGACAGCTGCTGGATAACAGCTGGTTCAGGGTTTCACTTTAAGACAAGTACCAATATTGTAAGTGGTGTTGGAAAAGAAAGTCATGTGCGTCAGGAGCAAATCTAAGAACTGGTTTTACCGTGAAGATCAGAAAGATTGACTGCTCTTTGCACTCCAATTTGTCATGGACTTAGACTATACCAGACTCAGCTGGCTAAGCCAGAATTTTATTTTGAATCTTCTCAAGTATCTCTGCTAAGAGATACTCAATAGGAACTTAGGACTGTAATATCTAAAATGTCACCAAGCAGAGCAATATTAATTGAAATAGTTAGATTGGCTTGACTCCTGTATTTATCAAATATTTTATTGGTTAAAAAACATACAGAAAAATCACCTAGAATTCCCAAACTTCTCCCTACTCTGACTGTCTTCTCCCTGTGTCTTCTCTCTCCTGGCTCTTCCTGGGTTCCTATGTTTACTGTGAGATAAAATCTCAGACCAGACCATGAAGCTAGGTGGGCTGCACATAGGCTATTATTGTGTGTTAATGATCTAAAACCAGACACAGTAACTGATGAGTGGATTTGCAATGCATTTAATTTATCTACACAATCTACCTCCTTTGTTATCTTATTTCAGTCTGAGGGATGAGAATGAGGCAGAGTCATTATATGAGTACTTATTGCCTTTGTGACAACCTTAAATGATTTTTATGGTTGGCCCTTGTGTGGCTGAGAGCCCACCCAAAGTTAGACAGTCCTCCATGTCGCCAGCCATGTGGTTAACGGGCCCAGGTCTCCTACTCAGTGCCTCTTTCTTTACACTGGCTCCTTTTCTAAATCACTTTGCTGTCACCCCCAAAGCTGATCAGGTACTGCTAAAAGCCAAGTGTTTCTATTTCAAAATGGAAACAGTAGAAGGGGATCAATAATTAATCAGGCTAAAAATTATTTAGGTAAAGCAATGAACATTTTTTCCTATAAAAAATGTTGACAGAGGAGACCAGGAAACAGTGAGGGTTTATAAGTGAAGAAATGTTTTTAAAAATATTATAATTTCTGAAATTTATGAACCACATTTATTTATTGGGCATGAAAAATATTTCACCAATTGCCCTAACCTGACTGTCTCCTCTTGACCAGGTTTGATATACATGAATAAATAAATATATCAGCTCTTCTAACTCATACTATACATGGTGGACATACATAGGATTGGTTGCTATTGTCCTTAATTATTAGAGAGAGAAACAAAAAGACTAATTTGGTAAGGGACTTTGCCTGAGGTAGTGGTAGAACTGTTACTCCTTGAGGCCATTTTAAGTCTTAATTTCCCTTCTTCCTTTCTGCTCTTGCATAGAGAGGATATAGAAGGGCTCTTTAAAACCTCCTGCAGAGACATGCCGGTTTAGTTATCTAGTGCTGTATAACAAGCCACCCCAATACTTAGTGGCTCAGAGCAACAGCTACTGTATTCTTCCTCGTGATTCTGTGGGTTGACGGGGCTCAGCCAAGCACGCCTTTTGCCTCAAGTGTACCTGAGACAGAATGTGCAGCTCAGCTGGGGCGGACCGTCTAAAGACTCCCACATTCAGCGCTCTCTGCCTGTGCCCTCTAATATTCAGTAGTCTGGCTTGAGTTTCTTTATAGCACGGAGATGAGACTGACTTTGTGACGGAGTGTACCAAGAGAGGCAGCTCCAGTGTGCAAGGGTTCACCAAGCCTCTATTTACATCCTGCTTGCTAAAATGACCATGGGTCAAAGCATAACCTAAAACCAAGCCCAGAGACAATGTGTGTGGGGGTGGGGGAAGGTTGGGCAGGTACATGAGCGTGCCAAGTGGATTAATGTGAGAAAGAGAGGCAGTGGCTGCTAGGGCTGGTGCAGTCCATTGCTCACATCTATCATGGGTGAAGAGTGGTGGGTCATATGTATTATTGTGCAGGCAGAGAACACAACTGGTTTAGAAGTCAGGCTTTTTGGTGTAAAAGGTGTATTGGTCACCTTTATTCTTTTAGTCAGTGTCTGATTATTCGAAGGTTGAGAAAACATGTCTAAACTCTGCTGAATCTTGCTCCTCTGGGGGAGAGTACATGCTTACAGTGAAGGAAAACTGGCACCTTGCTGAATGAGCAGAGGCAGCTGAGATAGAGTTTGGATGTTTCTTTAG